AGCATTACCTATTAATGCCACATGTATCTTGTATTCAAGCTCCAAACCAAGTAAATCATGCATCCTTTTATGCTCCTACACCAGGCAAGAAGCGCCAATCGCCCCTCTTGTTTTCTTAAAGTGCTTACAAGTCGGTTAACTACATGTAAGTAGGCATGTTTATCAGGTCTCTTCTTAGCGGGAAGCCTTGCCGAGGCGCTTTTTCTTTTCTTCTCTTCTAGCTTCAATTTTGTTCAACACTCCTACCAACACTTAGTCCAGAAGTCTGCTAGTCTATGACCTGATAGTCTACCCTGTTACATGTACATGTAGGATCAGAGCTTGCCAAGAGAGGGTGTGAGAAAGGCGCATCTTCCTCATGCTTTCGATTGATTCCATGTGTACTACATCCGTTCTACTGTTGATCTCTCCTAGCAGGATCCGATTTGGTCCGCCGCAGTAGCCCTCAGCCCTGTCTTTGTCTGCCGCCGGGCGGATACTTCTCTGTAGTAGCACTGTACTATCTCTGTCCTATTATGCGTAAGCTTAGCAATGGGCGACAAATTAGACGCCTGGTGTGAGCCAAGAGGCGATTTTAGCACGACAATCTTTTTTCCTCATCTCGACAAGAAGCAAACATTGAAGCGTCCGAGGCGCCTGGGCGAAAGTAGTGCTCCGTTGACTCGCATGAACTGTCAAAGTTGTACTCCTTTTCATTATTCATATTATTTCATTTAATTCACTTTTATCCTCAAGTTTTTTTTTTACCCATATTACTTGTACTCGACAATACACGTATCCATGACCAATCGCCTATTTACACGAATTTCCTATTCTGTCCCTCTGTTGTTTTTTTCCTCCAACAGAAAGCCGCAGTTCATTTTGCCCTGGACCACTGCTACATCAATTACTAAATTATGCCTATTTGCCCTCCTCACCCCTTACTAAACCTGTAAGATAGTCAACCAAATAGGCGCTCTTGGCACTCCATAGAACTACAACTATATCGCCCTTCCCCCATGCCAAGACGCTGCCGCGGATTTTAGCATCGGATTCAGTAAACGGCCCATGCATATCGCTGCCGCTCAGGGCTTGACGTAGGGCGCAAAACCCCCCCCCCTTCCTCCATCTCACCCGGTCCCCATTCACACCCAGGTATCCCGGATGCCCCCCCATATTATACCAAGGAGAAAATAGTCCATCGAAAGTAACAAAGGAACTATACCTCTCCGGCGTATTCCGCGATCAAGATCACAAATACACGTATTTTCCTCTTACGGCACTAGCAGCCCCGGGTTTCAAAGCTATTAACTGTTACTTGAGAGAAACTAGCATTAAACGTACAAAGTAAGCATATCATCATTTAGTAGCCCATGGGCCAGCACTATTGCTGCTAGTCCTAGTCCTAGTCATACCTAGGTTGTCCTAGATAGCCTCATGACTTGTATGTGTTCCATTTTAATGTTCTTCGTTGTTGCTAACATCTCAAAGCCGAGCCGAAAGAAGTAAACAATTCCCCTCTTATTAGTGATGATGCTTATATTAACAGCTGAGCTGATACTGCTTATCATGCATTCATTCTCCCAAGTCTCTCCTCCTTCTATTACCAGCAGGGTGGTTTTTATTTCCTCTTTCGGCCTCCAGCAGGACGCGGCAGCGTGGTATTCCAAATGCACATGTCATAGATATATATACCTAGACACAGCTATAAGCAAGCGTCAATATTGCCGGTGTCAGCCTTGAATTGAACCTTGTTCCTTGTCTCTTGTTTCCACTCCCTCTAATTCCAGTATTTGCTGATCTGACTTGAGATAAACGATATACCATGCCCATCGAAACGTAGAGCAAGGCTGTTGGTACCCACCATCATCTTGAATCATCATTTATAAATCTTCTGCATATATAGACGTATACGTAAATAAGCACGTGTTCTTCACACAAGCCCTTGTAATACCAATAGACACCGGCAACCAAATAGCAGCCCCCCACGAACATCTTTCCAATTAACATGCTTTCATGCTTTCGACTCTCTCTCGGCATCCCATCTAATCGGCATCCCATCCCATCTCTTCCAACGGCAAGTTCCGCTCCGGAACTGCACTTCCCAGTCTCCGTAGACTGCCTCCGGTGTTCCTCGTTGTAGTCGGTTCTCACCATCTCACCATATGCCAAGTATCTCATTACGCAGTAGCACCTTGGCGATCTAACCCCCCTACTCTCCTATTTCATGATCCTTCTCCTTCATCGTCCATTGTTTTATGTAATTCTAAATCTGCACTCCGAAAAGTGAATACATCCAAGTTTAGCCAAGCCAAGTCATCATCATCCTCGTCTAGTCTAATTCTTTTTCCTTTTCGTCTCACTGCTCCCCCCTTCCCCCTCACTGACTCCAGTTACGCTCCTCAGCAGGTAAGCAAAAGCAATAAAAACAAGAACAAGGGGGGCGGTATGTTCTCCAATCATAATAACTCACAGACACCGAGGCGGTAACAAGGCCAATGCACAAAGCAGTCCTTCTTCATTTGTGAACTTTACGCGACATCAGCACCAAAAGATGGCCACATGGCTCCATCTTCTGGTCTTCATCGCTATATCCCATGTAAAAGGGCCATGTATATATTGAGTAAAATGGCAGTGTGTATTCAAAAATACTCTGCCATATGCCTCCATATCATTAGCTTTAAGAGCAGAACAAGATGCATAATTTAGAAAACAGCTTATGCACATCATATCATAAAGCTACTAATCATCAAATCCACACTCCACACTCACTTATCCTCATTACAGCTTGAAGAAGAGACAAAAAGAGGCAAACATCATCAAAATGAAATGACACTTCAACTTTACATCAATCATGTCATCATTTGTATATGGCACTGCCTCAGATACTTCCCAAGGTCATGTCTGTCTGTCTGTATAGTCTTTCTACATGGGATAAATCCCAACCTCTCTCCTCTTTTTTTTTATCCAAAAAAGAACAATTATCATTTATTTTCGCCTCTTTCTTGTCCAAAGCTCAGTGCCGGTAATACTTCCTCGTCCATTTCTTGGGTCATTTGCAGCCGAAAAAAGAGTTGAATGCAAAAAGCCCTTGAAACCTTGTCACACCCATTTGTCATACACGCCCTTGGCAGATCAAAAAGGTGCTACCAGGAAAAAAGAAAAGGAAAGTGCAGAGTGGAGGATAAAAGATATGACTGTCTTTTATATCCACCGCCTTCTCTTTCTCACGCGTGATGGTAAGTGGTGGTAGCACCACCAACAAATAACAAATATTCCCCCATTCCCAGGAGCATCTTTGTGAGAGAGGCTTCTTTCTGTATGTCAGCAGGGCCTTGCCAATAGCGCACCATGGGCTCTCGTCCGCTGTCACCGTCACACCACGGCTGGCTGAGCATCTCTTGTCCTTCCACCTAGGCCAAGCAGCGTTAGGGCTTTTGGACCAGCCCGTGCCATGTATCTGGGACCAGGGTCTCACGGCTTCAGCCCAACCAAGCCCACGCTCATCGTCAGCCATTTCTGCAGACGGGGGGCCCAATCTACTGTAGTCCGAATTTCCCACAGGAGTGGTTTGCGACGGGCTTCCCACGTCCGGCTAGAGAGCCCTGCCAGTCCCGTCCCCAAATGGTCCTTTGTCTGCTCCCTTCCCCGAAACACCACGCCACAGCACGCACCTGTGCACCTCATCTAAGACCCAAGAACGGTTTGCTGCACAGGAGTGGTATATCTTGCTCTGCATCTGTGATTGTGATTGAATCAAACGTCCTCATCGTCATACAGCTTCTGCGAGAGGGTGGACTTCCATGTCGTGAACCGCATGTGAGTTCGTTTCAGAATTGGTCGTGTCGATCCCATCGCATCCACAACGCCAACCCAATCCCCTTTGAACCCTGGTCTCTGGGCACCTGCACTGTAAAAACTGGACGAGTAGGCAGTGGTATCATCAATATCTGTTGTGTTTCCGGATGAACTTTGCGAGATTCAGCTAGCCTAAACTCGGGCAGTAGTAGTGCTATAGAAAATAAGTAGCAGCAGCAATACAAAGGGCAGCGGTGCGATGAGAGACGGAAAAAAAGAGATCCTGAATCCTCTGGCGAGTCCGTCTTACTGGGAGCTGCTGACATGGGGAGCTGCCTCTCATCGCCGAATTCGGCGGTACAGGCGCAAGTACACGTCTCACCCATCATGGAATCAGCCGGTGGAGGGGGGATGCCCTAATACCCTAGGAATTCTGCATCCCAGCTTCGCGCAGTAGTCTGTCAGCCTGGCCTGTATCCAGACATCCAATGGCATTTTCTGCTGGTCCTCGCTCCTCCTTAAAGCCCTTCTCAGGGATAGCACCAGTGCGTTCTGACCACAGTAGCTGTCCATGAGCAGGACACCGCATGCGACTCTGGTGTTCGCATTTGGAATCACCCCATAGCTCCAGTGCTTGGCCAGCTCTCTAAACATCCCAAAAGTGGCAACATTCTCTCTCCAACAAACCATGAAATACCCTTGTAAAATCGACTCGTCCACGCGAGCTCTCTCTTGCGGATCAGTCATCATAGCCTCCATCTCCCAAAAGCCGAGTCCACGGGATATCTGTCTGCGCGCGCCCTGCTTATTTTTGAGTGGTTCGACACCTAAACGCCCATTTATGAATAATCAATTGCTCGTCGTGAGGTCGTTATAGACAAAAGGAACGATAATGTAGTTTAAAAAAGAAAAATTTCTCGGCCAATGTGAAAATCATTTATTTGACTGGCAATGCAATGCAGAGCTCCACTATGTCGCCTCCTGGAGCGGGTATTCTTTTTAACACAAAACAATAAAAATAATAAAAAACAAAAAAACAAATAGCCATGCCGTCTTCATACAGAAATAGTTGATTGGAACTTTTCGTGTGTTGGTGCGCCTTCGTAGACTAGCAGCCGCGCCCATGGGCGGATCCCTGCAGCGCTTCGAATGCAGCTTTCCAGAGCCAGAATCTCTTCTATTTTTTTCATAGTTTTTTCATTTCTTTTTTGTTTCTTTTTCCTTCACCTTGGGGAAGGGTCCTCTTCCATCAGACAAGCATTCTCCAGCATGTTGGTCCACTTGCCGCTGGTGCCTGCGTGACTGTGCTTGAGATGCTGCCGAAAGTGGTCGGCCCTGTAGAACTTCTTGGAGGAGTTGCACTCTCTGAACTTGTGCTGCTCCTGTAGGTGTCGAATGCGCTCTTCCCAGTCCTGGTCAGTGGCGTGCCTTGCCTGGATCCCTCCGTTCAGTAAGCCGGCTCTCGCTCCAAGTCCCGAACGAGGGAACTCCTCCCCGCAGTAGCCGCATGCATCGGCCTCGCCGGGATGCGTCGTCGATTCGTGGAACGCCCGATTGTAGCCAGATAGTGCAGAGCATGACCATGAATGGCGACGCACGTGAAGCGAGTTCTGGTGTCGCTCGGCCTCGTTCTTGTTCTTGAATCTGTTGCCACAGAAGCTGCACTCATACTGCTTTTCAGCTTCGTGAGCACTAGATGGATGAGTCAGCACCCACTGAGAATGACGAAGCGGGAAAAACTGGGGCGCGTTGTAAAAAAAAAAAGAACTAGAATGCGACTATTTACGTACCTGAGCTCTTCAGCTGTCTCAAACTTCTTGGGCTTCTTGGGACAGCATTCGCACATGTAGAACCCCTGAAACTTGGCTCCCGCGGGCTTGGCCATCTCGGCGAGCTTCCGCGGGCCGGCGCCTGACGTGGTCCGTGAGTGCAGAGATGCCCTGCTGGCAACTGAGGTCTTGGGGCTTGGGTTGAGGGATGCGGGCGTGTTGTATGGAGAGGTGCATGATGTGGGAGAGAGGGCCCCGGGTGAGACCCCACCGGGGGAGCGGTGGCCGAAGGAGCAGCTAGCGGTAGTCGTAGAGGGGATGGAGATGGAAGACATGAGGAAGCCGGATCGCGAAGGCGCGCTAGAGAGAATGGACGTCGCGGTTTGGGCGCCCGTCGATAGGCGAGGGGTGGGAGAGCCGCGAGAGGCGCCCTGGCCAGGAATCATGTGGAGGCCAAGGTCGTCCGATGCAGGGCTGGCTGCCCGTCGCTTCTGTCCGGCACTTGCGTACGCATCTTCAATGTGCAGCCTCTTCAATGACGACGTCTCCTCCATGTCCATGTCGTCGGCAAAGCTGCCCTGGGTAGAGGTGGCATCGTCGCTGTTGTTCCGCCTTGATCTGCCTCGGGGCGAGCGGTCGGGTTCTGAGCTGTCATAGGGCGAGCGGCGGTCAATCGGGGATCGGTAGAATGGCGTGGAGAGGGGAGAGACGGCAGAAAAGGTGGGCGAGTCTCGGGTTTGTGACTCAAAGGTTGCGCGGCTGTGGATGGGGAGCTGGATGGGAAGGTTGTTGAAGCTGGGAGCAAACCGGCCCTCATTCTGAAGCCCTCGAGCAATGTCACTCATGGAGTTGGTGAGAAGAGAGCGTGGAGGCGATCTCTCCAGCGTGCGGATGGGAGTCAGCAGGCTCTTCATGCTATCGCCGTGAATATCAGCTGCTGATTGGAATTGGAATCTGTTGTGGTGAAGTCCAAATGGCTCGGTGGGGATGGAATCGCGAGATCTGCCATTGTCTACAAGTTAGCCTTGATCATATTTTTCAAACCCAGTTGCAGCCTGCAACAATTACGCACCTCTCTGTTGAAGCATAGCTGGCATAACCCTCGTCGCTATTGATGCTTCCAGTTTCCCTTCTCCTGTAGCCCGGTCGCTCCTCCAGGTGACAAGGGCTCATGCTGCCGTAACCACTCGCCAAGGATGAGCGGCTGGCGAAAGAAGAACCACGAGAATACTCTTTCTTGTCTTTTGAGTCGTCACGGTATTGCGTAGGGGCGTCGCCAAAGGGAAGCACCCGTGGAGGAGGCAGCGGAGGGGGCACGTCGTCTCGTGTATCCATGCCAGGGATGGCCATTGCCGGACTTCTTGAGAAGGTGAGGTCGTCTCTGTATCGATTGGCGCCGGATCCAGGCACGATGATGCTCGGCAGAGCAGGAGGAGCCTCTCGATACTGTGGGGGGAAGGCCATTGTCGCGAGGTGAGGAAGGGAATTGCGAGTATTTGAAGTTGCAAGTGAGGTGCTGCAAAGAGGTGAGGCAGAGGCCGAGGTGGGCCTTTTGATGTGGAAAGCGTGAAGAGGTGTTTGCCGTTACACGCCCATTCGAGTCATGGGAATTGATGATAGCCGACGGAGTCAATGCGCCAGTGAGAACGCAAGCCCGCTGCTTCAGCTGCGGCAACGATAATCCGCCGTTACGTGTCGCTGTAGGCGAAGGAGGGCAGAGCTGCGTAGGTGGCAACGAATTCGGAGTTTTTTTTTTTTTTTTTTTTTTGTTGTTCTTTTTTTTTTGGCGTTTGTCCAAGTCCAGCTCTAGGGGCCGCAAGGTCTTCCAAGGCAGTGCGTACTGCAGGTACGTAGGTGAGCGTGGTTTGGGATGATAGCTGAACGGGACAGCAAAGATAGGTCCATAGAATGAGGCAAAAGTGTTGAAGACGAATAGGAATGAAGAACAAGGGCTCGAAGAATGATACACGAAGCCACTAGAGGCAAGTTGAGGTGACCAAAGACATGGGATGTCCTCGAATTATAACATGTGGGAGGTTAAGAACGCTTTAATGTATGTAGGGGCGAGGAGCGGGAAACAAGAGAATATCAAAGCTTAGTCCCGCTGCTCGACCCAGAGAGAGAAGAGAGAGAAAGAGCGGGTGTGGGAATAAGAAGGGTGAGCAGAGGGCAGCGCCAGGGGCGTGTCGAGGCGACAAAGCGACCAGCATGAGATGGCCCTCTCCAACAAGTGCTAATCCTGTTAGTGCGCGGGTGGTCGTTTGGCCAAAGCAGAGCCGGGGATTTGGTTGGACAAGGGGCGCCGTGGGAGTATGGTTGCCATTTGTTTCTTGTGTCCAAAAGTAGCCTATCTCTTTGCCCTGTCGCGCTTTTTTCTGCCTACCCCTTCCTATTATCAACGAGCCGACGGCAATGCAGAGCCACATCAGTTCGACCATCAGCTGGGGAGGCGAACAAGACACGAGCATTCACTGATAACTTGCTACACCATATACCATGGTATATGTGCCTGGTAACGAGTGTTTAGTGTCAGAAGCCAGCAAAAGAGCGAGATGCGCCAACCCTATTGGAGCAGAGCGGAGAAAACAGAGAGAGGGGAGGGGCGTATTCCATTGATGTTTCTACTCACAGGCAGTATTCCCTTGGGGGCATGTACACCAGCAGCAAGGGCCGAGATACAGGGAGCATGGCATGACTACTACCCAGTAGCAGAAGCAGCGGCAGAAGCCAAGTAACGAAAGGCGTTCCCAGAGGATCGGTTGACTTGCGAGGTGCGATGGAATTGGACTGCGAGCTGCCCCCCTCTCCAAGCTGCTGGCGTGTACCTACAGGTACATAGGAGGGCTTAGGGACCAACGGCCCACGGGTGCGGCTACTCTAAGCACCGTCGTACAAGAGAGTAGCGACACGGGATGCGCGTGGGCAGCCCTGTCTTAGTGCCCTATGGCCTTTTTCTGGCCTGGGGAGAGGGGCGTATGCTCAGCGCTGGGCTGTAGGGCCAGCACTGACGCCGTCTGAGAATGCTGCCGGGGAGGGGGCGTAGAGGCGTGGATGATGCGGGCAGGGACCCGCACGGTGGTGTGCATATAGACAAGGCCATTGATCCCGCCAGTGGAGAGCCTGTTTTTTAGGCAGGGCTGGGCGAGAGACGAGTGGACGAGGACCAAGGCAGCGCTAAGCAATTAAGGTAGCCAGGCAACATCCATCTCAGGTCGAGGTGAGCTCCGCGGCCCTGGGTGTTGTGGTGCTGGCAAACTGATGATGCCGGACGCTGGGCTGGATATGCTGGCTGGCTTGCAGTCGCTCCACTCGCCTCCCATCCCGTATGTCCGTCTTCCCACTCTATTGTGTTCAATCTCTCCTATCCCTGCTGCGAGCACTCTTTGTGCTTGTACATACGCCACACACGCGCTCTGCTCCGTCCGTACGGAAGCGGAAGACAACATACTCGCCAAAAGTGGCCACCAGTGTCCATATGGGAGCAGCAGTTTCCAGGCCCCTGGCAACGGAGCGGCAGAACGGAGCGGCAGAACGAGGAAGCAGCAGCTCAAGGATCGCTCGGCGATCGTTCGGCCTGTGAGTTGAAGACTAAACCAATGGCAGCAATTCCAGGGCCGAAACGGAAAAGAACATATTCCTGCGGCTAGCATATATAGGAGCAGTAGTCGGAGGGAGGGGTGTAGGGCTCTGGCTCTGGCTCTGTTCTGGCAGCCCTGCGCTGCAGAAGTACAGGTAAGGGTGCCTCTTACATACATACATACATACATACATACATACACGCTTCCTCTTTGTCCAAGGCCATGGATGTACAAGTATGACGACTGTAGCCGCGGGACTTCTGGCGCCAACACCTTGTACATCGTATGTCCAGTTCGAGATCCAGGGCTGGCTGTTTAGTAATTCGCCTGCCAAGAATAAGGGCCCTCATTAGAGGCAGTGGAATGGCGTATGCAGCGAGAATGAGAGGATCTAGCAGTAAAAGTCAGCGGGAGATGATGTTTCAGGCGTGCCGCTGGGCCTTGATTGCAGCACGTTCGCACTGGCTACGACTCATTGCTCATACTCGCCAGCATCGCAACCAACTCTGACGTTAGCGGTGGCCGCCGCGAACCAGGTGTCGTGCTGATCTGCGGGAGATCGTTGCTCTCTACGCTTCAAGCCTGACGTGAAGCATAGCAGTAGTGCCAGCGACTATCCAGTAGTAGCAGGTAGTCCAGCGCCAAAAGCTAGCCGCCTGGGCTGTATTACTCGACAGCTTGGCCGGCACTCGGTACCGCTTGGGCCAGGCCAATGCAATGCGAGGTGCGCGGCTGCTCATGCAAATGATGGAGATGCAGGATTGCACGCGCGCAAGCGGTTTGTCGATATTGGAGATGCTTGTCTGGTGTAGGAGAAACTCAAGGCGAAGATGGCTCAAGGCGAAGACGGCCGATGAGGGCGAGTCGCCTGAGGCAGAGAGCCCAGGTACTTGCCATGTTTTACTGGTTGCCACACTTCGTCAGTACTGGGTACCGCCTGATGGCGTCTTGGTCTACGCTAATTGTAGGACCTCGTTACCTGCAATAGGCAAATTTGATGGTCAGCGATAGCGAGTAGGTTGTACCCCGACTGCTGCACAAGCTGGGAAAGAACAACCTCCTATCAAAACTCTACACCGACGACACCGCGCCATAGCTCGCTGTTACCACGAAATATCTACAGCTTCTCCTTCACGGCTTTTCATTGTCTACCACTGCTGCATTACTGTTTGCGAATGCCTCTGTCTGTCGAGTCTATGAATCGTGCCCCCGCTCACATCGAAGTTCTTGTCTGCTACTAGCTAATTCCTTCAGCAGGACTCCTTGATCCGCCTCGATTTATTCCGTCGAAATCCGGTGCCACTGCCCTCAGCGCGTTTGTGGCTTGCAATGGCGTGTCGAAATTCCGCGCTGCTCATGACGGTATAAGTAATCAAGCGTGGTCACTTTCTACAGTAACCTGTCCTGCCGCGCATAGCTTCAGCTAGGCGGAGCCGAGTAGGCCTGCAGTTCCGTTCCACGCAGCAGATTCCGCTGTCCACCCAAGAACGAATCATTGGTGTCTGCGCCCTACCGGTCCGCCTGCGCATGAGCACTTCTACTCCTTGGAGGGCTGAATCGCCCCAACTCTAGCCCAAACCTCAGCTCGTTACTTAATCACTTAGCAAGGGCAGCGCCACTTGTCATTATCCATGCACTCTGCAGCGTGAGCACCGACGACGATTTTCCGTGGACAACATTCCCCGGGGGGCCTTTTAAGTGCTAGCTCTACCTATCCTTGCAGCCCATTGCTTATACTAGCTGGCGTATAGGACTAATATACTAACCCACCCAAGAACACTTGGCTGAGCAGCTATGGATTTCGACCGCTTTGCTAGTCGCCGGACCCGACCCACGGACTATGGCGAATGCTGCAGATTTACTGCTTGGCCAGATCACCAGCCTTATCATTTGCTTTTCGTCAGCCATCACACCGCTCAGCTCGTCCGATGAAGAACAAGGACTGATATGCAACTATACTGCTCCTCAATCCCAAGGAATTACAACGCTGGATTCGATCAAGTAGTCAACAAAGCCAAGCAGCTACTGGCGCCAAAGGAATATTGTACTGTATCCGGGCTAGGGCAATCCAGGTGTGAGCGCCACTTCCCAATTCATGCTGCATCTCGCAACTACCCGCCAAAAAGACGAGATCAGATCAACCGTGAAAATGACGGCCAAGCTGTATGAGAGGAGCTGGTGGGAACGACTGCCCATATCCATTTACGGTTGTACCGCTGGAGAGGTAAGGATTTCCTCTCACGTGACAAAGACAGCAGAGCCTGCTTCAAAGCCACTTCCCCACCATATTACAGTCTTGAGCGTACTGTGTACCATGGGTATTTGTGTATAGCAAGGCTATTCGAGAGTTCCCGGGCTGCTGCGGATGGGATCATGCATATATTCCTTCACACGAAAGCTGGCCTCTGGTGTTATGATATATTTGCATTCCTGGACAGTGCTTCTCCGAGCCGCTGACACACTTACAAAGTTGCCGGTCTCAACAGTTTCAGTACGGGCCATTCAAGCTGCTAATCAGGAAGTCTTGATCATCCACTAGCTGACCCTCGCAAGGGGCACTAGCCCATTCAGCATACACGGGATGTAATGTCGGCAATTCTAGACACTACACAGATCTCCTCATAACAACAGCTGGCACAGTTGCTTTAGGGAAACAACAACTAGCAAGGCGAAGTAGAGACAGCACAACGGCCAATCATACACGGTAAGGCTTAGGCTACAAGCCGTGTCATACTGTTGGGGGAATACGAGACGATGGCAAAAGCCTATGTAACCTAGGCCACCACTCGCTTAGGCGGGATAAGCAGGGCAATGCCTTGCCATGCGGCATTGACGAACGATGCATGCAAGTCGGCCAATCGTCACTCAGCCTTACAAGAGCCAGCAGGGCCAGGTGCCTAATCCCGTGTTTAGCCAATCATTACTCGAATGCCCATCGCCAAATTTATCCGCCATATTCGCCAACGAGAGGTAAAAGGTGGGACGAGGCTGGCAAGGGCAACTTTCCCCGCCAAAAGAAGACTCAACAAGCGCCGGACCGCACTCGATATGATAGCATTTGAAGAGTGAATTATTTTTCACGCTTCATGACTCTCCCAGCCGACATCAAGAGAGCAGGCGACAAGGGGGGTGTGCTACGATACGTCCGATGAAGTCCATATTTTTGCGACAAAAGTCGATACATGACACACTCTACGTCTAGTTGTATACCTATATCTTGCTGCGGCTTCCTTAACAGCGAGATCAACGGAGCGGCCTGAATTCTCGGCCGTTGCAGCGATCCGTCGGTGGCACGAGTCGAGGAAGCGAGGGACAAAAGAAAGGGGGACGGATTGTTCCGTCAACCTTGGCAGGCTCTCAATGGCACTACGGGTAGTGACCCACTGAAAGGGTCTTCAAACGCAAAGAGCTCTTGAGAAACAGATTCACTTGGCTTACAGTACAACACTAGCCGCGCTAATTTGTCACGGCGCCGAAGCCGCAGCTAAGCCGCGGCAGTCGATTGCTTGTTGCAGATGCAACTCTACGTTGATAGGTCTAAATGCAGTCTCCAATACTATTACTTTAGGCGATTTTGAGGAAGAACTCGCCTCCATTCATACCGAGGTAAGAGGGGGGGACACAACTCATACCAAGAGTAGCCCGTTGCACCAAGTCTCTACGTTCAAAGCGCTGGCAAGGAATACGAGGCTTAGAAATGCGAAAAGCCTTGAGATCTAGTTACAGAGCCATTACTACTGCCTTTTTCTTACCAATACGCGAATGTAAACGATATCATTCACCTGATTGGGTATGACGCCCTCAGGTAAGCTGCCACCATATACTGGGCCGTTGACGCCAACAACTGGGCCGACCGAGATCTCCGACTACTAGTACTACCTCGCAGTAGTCTCATCATCAATCTATCTAGAAAAAAGTATCCGAGAGCAGCAGAGTTATTCAACATAAGCACTTACAGAATACGGCCGTGATTTCCGCCTGAGCTTCCAGAAGCCTGCAGTCCATTGTCGGGCTGTCGGGGGAGCGAAGATTGGTTCAATTACCATATCAAGGCTAGCTTGCACCAAGAAAGAGCGATTCACAAGGCTGAAATATACGCTAAACACAAACGGTATGTGGTGACCTGCGTGTAGCTCTTTCGGCCAGGCAGAAAGATACCGGTTCCTACTTGTATGATTCATCATCTCCTGGAATAATTTTCTTCTTCTTTTTTTCGGACAATCGGACGAAGGGAGACAGGAGATTTTCTCGCGGCGTCCTCTTAGAGCGGAAGCATGTGGAGAACTCTTGAGTCAGGATGTGTTGAGCAAAGCGACGCATCACATCTTTCTGTTTTTGATTCCTGTCTGTTAAATGAGATTGTTCCTTTTGCGGCTAAGACGACAAGCGTCAAGATGAAAGACCGGATAGGCCGGTGCCCCGGGCGATTATGCAGCATGGTATCATTGAGGAAACAAGATGCACCAAGGGAGTGGTTAGGTTCCCTGGCAGCGCTCGGAGACTCAGAAAAGTGGCGCGAACTATCATTTACGCTTCCCCACCACCAGAAACGTGCGTGCGCCTCCTGTGTCACAGCTTTGTCCGTAGGGCTGTGAAGGTCTGCCAGATTGGCATGCCCCTTGTTGATGCTAAAAATCAGGGGATGCGCAACGAGGAGCAAGCAGGACCCGCAACAGCCACGGCCCGCCCAGTATGGTAACGTTAGCATGCTGGTCCATGTTGTTGAAGTATTCAACGCCTCGAATGCTGCTCGCACGCCTAGTCAGTGCGCATGCTGATGGAGTCCAGAGGCGCCCGCAAAGAATAATCATGATTGCGGACTTGGGCTGCGAGCGCGCCGCGTCTTACATGGCGAAGCCCCGGAGATGTGAACTCAAAGATGCAATACAAAAGCAAATCTCATGAAGTGTTTTGGGAGGTCGGCGACTGGGATGTCGTCGAGGTCCCCGTAGCCCGGTCCACAGCTCTCAGGAACAGGCTCTATCTTGGGAGCCAAAGGGCTAAGACTGGAGCCGCCTGACGCAAAGGCCCCGTATTCGATGTCAACGGCCGCTTCCTATTCGCACACTCGTATGCATTCACGGTCCGAAGACAATAAAAAGAGGGTCCCGAGCTCCGACGACCGATTTGAAAGCCGCCGCCACGGGTGCACGCCGTGTCAACTGCCGGCGCAGGTGTGCCGCCCCCCCGCCGCCAGCTCTATATCCTTCATCCGGAAACACCTGGGTTGGATTAGGGCAAGATGGCGGCTGAAACAATGTTATTCTTCTGCCTCACATGAAAGACAAGCGACTATCGCGAGTCCGGCAAAGCGGCGAATGGCCTTTCTCAACAAGTGAACAGCCGATGGTGGTGTTAGTCATGAGATCACCGGCAGCGCATTACGCCAGCACCCCGGCGAGATTGCTTGTCGATGGGGTGCGAGTTATAGAGTGTAAAAGGATAGAATGCTGCTCCACACTCAGATACATGCAAAAGCAAGCTGCCAAGTACACGTGTATCCTACAAGTATAAGTATACGCGACACAGCACAAGGAATTCGCGGAAGGGACCGCGTTTCATGTGGCAACTAGGACGCAAAAGTCAAGACAGCCGTGACGAAAGCGGGCGAAGAATGACAGCATGGCCCGGTTATCTGGCAAACCCGATAGACAGGCTAGATGGTATATGGCTTAGCGAAGAGCGCTAGAAGCATTCTAGACGGCGGTCTGTCGATTCGTCTGAAAGCTAAGCCAATACAGGCAATTAGGGAGAATCATGGGCCAGCTTTAGCCCACGATGATTAGGGAGAAAAAGGATACCAATACCGATATGAAGTTTGGGGTTCCCCACATATTGTGTGCTGCTCCCATGAACTAAGGGCTTCAGGTGGGCATCGGAAGTTGGTTGGGAAAAGAATGATAAGCCCCATGCGGTCCGAAGTATGTGGGGGCGTACGACGGAGAGTATCTTCAAGTGTACGTCTTCTCCGATCGCTTAGCATTGGCATGTTGGAGTGCGGAAATGCTACAGTATGGCTAGCCAGAATCCTTGGCCCTTGGGACTGGGTTATGCGTCTCGTCGCTTTCTTTTTTTCTTGGTACGGAGCACAATGCAGAGAATCGGATTCCCTAGCGTCAGATCGCCTACTGTATCCCTTCCGATGCAAGATAACCCCTGAAGATCTTAGTCTCCGTCTACTGGACTCTGAGTACGTCGGTCCTACTGCGGGCGGCCGAAGCCTGAGAGATGAGACATGGAGCGCGGTTGGGAGGCAAGGCGAGCACTGCACACCCTGCGGCCAAAGGTCAGACCAACTCATGATTGCATTTGCTATCATCCATCGAACCACTGTCGCACCACCGTTGAACCACGAGTACACGTTGAAAGGAAGGCTTCTGGCAGCGGTGAAGACGTCGAGCCGCGGGCGCAAGAAGGACTATTTCGCTAGTGATCGCTAGTCAGACTGCGCTTGTCATTTGATGACGCTACAGTATCTGCAGAGGAGCTGGGCAGCTTTGCAGTAAGTACTTGGATCAAGGTTTAGGCTCTTGCCGGTTTTTTTTTTGGCCATCTTTCATTAAAAGAAAGAGATATCCAGCTTGTTCAGGGAGTTTGATAACAATGCAACCCGGGATATTCTCCCATTCCAGGCTTAGAAGCGATTATGCACTGTCAGGTGTGTGTGGCTTGGAGTCTTGCGTGGCGGACTAACGAGTTTCCTGACAAGTTCCCTGACAAGTTCCCTGCCTGCATGAGATGGGATGCAGGCAATTGCGCATTGCGTCTGCCGTCCCGGCGGATGGTTGCAACAACCAGGTCGGAATTGAGGCACGATGATGGCATTGCGGCTCGCAAGATTTGCCACGGTGACTGGATCTTGACTCGCATCAGATGGTGAGCTGAGACAAAGTTGGGTATTCTGACGACCTGCCCTACCAACTTGCATCTAAGCCTATTGATAAGCAGCGAGGCAAATTTGCGGAGAAGGCAGCCCAAACCGGCATGAGCTTCATACCATAAACG